AGGATAATTAGAGTTTGTTCATAAAGAGAGTGGTTTGCACGTACGACATGAACAAGAGAGCCGCTCTTGGAGGTATAGGTGCCGTTAGAGTTGTACGTAATGTTTTGGTGAACCATAGTATGGATATGGACAGTTCGGCCAGTGTCTATCGAAAAAATGAGTAAATGAAAGCAAAAAGCAGGACGAATACTCACAGAAACCGGGATAAATAGTCTTAAAGGCGACGATACCAGCATCGTTCGTCTGCCAGCCACCCCTCAAAAAGTTGTAGTCGTCTGTCTTGGAGCTTCCACCTCCACCTCCCCCACCGCTTCCAGGAGCCATACCTCCAGTGCCGGATGGAACGGCGCTATCGGATCCAGAAGGAGGTGCTCCTCCACCGGTCTGGGAGGGGTCGAGCGAGAAGGACATGCTACTATTGTTGCCGCCTCCGGGGTTCTCACCCCCACCGGTACCTCCGGCAGTCGTGAATCCACTAGAGAGAGAGAGCTCGTATTAGCAACGAGGATCGATAACTAGTGAGAGTGATGTAAACGTACGAGTAAGAGCCAGTGGCGTTGCAGTTCCAGATTTCAACAAGAGCGTTGGGGAGGGGTTCACAGGTAGAGGTGTCGATAACGCCAATGTCCAATTCCAAAAGGATACCTCCTTGAGTCTCGCGGAGGTCCTGTCGGATGAGATCGTTGTTGAGATAATAAGGTCCTTCGGTCACTTCGGGAGCTACAAGAGAGTCAGAAAAGCAAAACACGTTGAGGTAGGAAGGACCGACCAGTGACACAAGTAGTGTTCTTGATACTGGTTTCCTGGGGCTCGACAGCGAGTGTGGTATATGGGAAAGTAGTGTCGCGCTTTTTCTTGAGGAGATTACGCTTGGCGATCGCACGCTTCCTGTGGTACTCTGCAATTTGAGGGGCACAGTTACGGGCTTGAATGTGACGCTTGTTAGCAGCGAGCTGGAGGGGAAGGTGAATGAGCGATGCCCTTGGCCAACCAGATCCTTGGAATTTGTCCTTACCTGACGAGAGGATATCTCGCGGGGATGCATAGAACGCTCATGGCCGTGGGCATAAACTTCACCACTGGCAAAGAGCAGGGTAACCAGAGTCGCGAGAGAGAGCTTCATTGCAAAGCTGTATCGAGTTACTGATAGAAAGAGAGTGAGCACGTAGATGCAATAATAACTTTTGGGAAGAAGAAGAAAAAAGAGACAATGTGATGGGGAGAAAACACTCACGAACAGACACCTTTTATACCTTTTTGGAGAAGGCAGGTAGTCGACATGTGCTGAAACGAGCGAGCCAGCGAATTGAATAAGGGGAAATCTCTGTGGCAAGTGAGATTAACCGAGCATGGAGAGTATGCGCAGCAATGAGCCCAATGACGCCCAATACCGACTCTCCGGGTGCAGACGGTTATCGGGTTCATCTGCCTTCACCCGTCCACCGGCCACTCAAATACCTTCATAGTAAAGTCCAAACTTCTAGTGGTATCGTCTCTCCCTCTCCATCACTCGAGACCTGTCCATTTTCGAGAGTAGTTTCTACGTCTCCTAGCC